TGGATTTCTGGAAAACCGGGTCTGAAAGACCGTATTAGCCGTTCTCGTGTCGATATTCGGATTCAGCACCAAAAGTAACGTATAGTCCACTATGTTTCAAAAATAAAGCGATTTGACAGTTGGATATGTTCCCTCGTCAGTCAAAATCCATCCAAGCTATTGCAGAATATCAAGATATTTTATCTGCAGTATACCGTACAGGTCAATAAATGATTTAAAAACCAACAGACAATAGTTTGGCTTTTGGAAAGGTTTCCTAGAAACCTTGAAAACATAGGCTTTTACATTCTGTATGGTTTTTATTTTAGCTACATGCTAATCTACTCTTAACTAACCAAAACACTCAATAATCGTAATGTTAATATTTTCATTACTTAGTAGAAAACACTCTTGGAGAATACTTATTCTCAATGTAGCCAAAAATAATTTCATTGTTTATTGGTAGTAAAAATAATAATCATAGAAAAGTTGTTGTGTTGAATGTAATATTTCGATCGATTTATTTGATCATTTTTATGCTCATATGTGCTCTTCTCGTCGGATGGAAAAGAATTTTCTTCGAGCACATGGTATGCTCGAGAACGTACTTTCAAGCATCGCTCAATAATTGTTTTAAGACTGCATCAGACTGCTTCTATCAATCATTAATGATGTCATTTAACAACAGGAATAAATCTGCGGCATTAGCAAGATATCGCTAATGTTATGCCAGGTGAATTATGCTACTTATGGTGAAGTAATTATGGAAATGTACAAAAAACTACTGAAACAAGGCTATCGATCTCCGCGATTGATGGAAGCTGTGAAAACAGTTTTTTGAAAAATATTACACTTCAATCAATTTAAGTGGACTGAAGGAGAACTCATCAAAGATTTGACAAAATAGTTTTCATCCACAAAGTCTTTTACATTCTGTATGGTTTTTATTTTGAGCATCGATTAATAATTGTTTTAAGACTGCATTAGACTGCTTCTAACAGTCAGGAATGATGTGATTTAACAACAGAAATATATCTGCAGCATTATATATTCAATTTTAATTGTGTGATCATAATGATAGTATACCAAAACTTTCATTATTTACTATTTTACGGAGTATTTCATTTCACGATAAATGTAAAGAACCACTTAAAAATAATGGTGAATTACTGAAATTAATTCAAAGATTATCAACAAGTACAGAAACCGGTATTTGTAATCAGGAACAACATCAATGCATACCGAAATACTTGCCATCAATTAGAAAAGCATGTGAAGGAATATTATGGAATCCAGCCGATGTAAAATTACTGAATACATCGTCGCTAATGACATCGACACAATCTCAACGGTCATTAGCAATGATCAGTTATTCTCATGTTGATTTGGCATTTTGTTAAGAACTTCTTCAAAAGATGCGCAAGATGATAAGATTATATGCTGCTTTGTATGTAACATACCTAAATTAAGTGCAGGAATTTCATGGGATTTACTAACACAGATAAAAGTGAGTTAGATCACTTATTTTATTGGACTACTACTACTACTACAGGCGCCAAAGTATGGGGCACTCCTTCGGGCTTCGTTATTCTCTGGCACCTTCAAAAATCATGAAAACATAGAATTCATGACTCAGTAAAAATCCATCCAAGATATTTTATCAGCAGTATACCGTACAGGCCAATAAATGATTTAAAGACTAACAGACAATAGTTTGGCTTTGGAAAGGTTTCCGAGAAACCACGAAAACATAGTCTTTTAGATTCTGCGTGGTTTTTATTTTAGCATCGATTAACAATTGTTTTAAGACTGCATCTGACTGCTTCTAACAATCATTAATGGTGTGATTTAACAACGGAAATATATCTGCGGCATTAGCAAGATATCGCCAATGTTACGCCAGAACACAAATGATCGTCCTCAAATGAAATCTCCGAAACGATCGTTTTGGTTTTCAGCTGGTGAGCTGCAATAATTTTAATTATCCAAAAAGCTAATCTACTCTTAACTAACTGAAAGTTTTGGTATACGATCATTATGATCACATAATTAAAATTGAATATATAATGCTGCAGATATATTTCTGTTGTTAAATGACATGATTAATGATTGTTAGAAGTAGCCTAATGCAATCTTAAAACAATTATTAGTCGATGCTAAAATAAAACCATACAGGATGTAAAAGACTTTGTGGATAAAGAAGTCGTGTTGCCGCAGAATTTCCTGCATAACGTAAATGAAAAAAAGTATAATCAGTTGTTGATGAGGGTTAACGTCAAGCTCACTCTCATACTCAAAAGTGCGAAAGCTTCATAAAATTAAATTCTCTATGGATGTGCATTGAAATTAATGTTTACGTGTTGAGGAGCCGTCCATTTCTGGCTACACTGCAAATTTTCTCAGATCAGAATCCACGGCGAAATAATAATTTTTCTGTCGGTTCTCATGCATTTTTTCATTAATCTTTTAAATTTTACATATGGTGGTGCTTCCAGTAAAAGTCCCATAACTCCATTAAAACGAAAGATCTTTCGATCGGAACTGATTGCTCTTCTCTGCCTAGCTGCAAAATCAAGACTTTGATCATGTTTTCCGTTTGCTGCTTGGGTACATTGTCTGAGTCAGGGCTTGTCGACTTTTGACGTATTTTGGAAACTCCGTTCTCGAGCATACCATGTGCTCCAAGAAAATTCTTTTCCACCCGACGAGAAAGAGCACATATGAAAGTACCAAACACAAACTGAGTTCTCACTTTTGCTACGTTTGTTTACGGCAATAATAGAACCGCGACAAATATCATTTCTTTTCTTTTCAAAAGAAATTTCTCTTCTTTTTAACGTTTTTTCTCTGTTATATAGTGTGAATATTATATATATTTGAAAGCTTTTGACATAGTTGGTTGTGATTCAGATGATAATTCTCTCGTGGCTGTTTCAAAAGGCTTTAATATGCACTGAAACGAAGCAGAAAAACAAGAAATTATTATTATTATTGTTATCGCCGCCAAAATATAAGGCACTCGGTTG